TTAATTGGAATGAAAATAATTCGGCCTTAGCATGTGATTTTCTTGGTGATGATTTGTCTGATGTTCGTATTGAATCAGAACTTTGTCGTGGACAATGTGCTCAAACTTCAGGATGTACTCACTATACATGGACTATATATAGTGATGGTACTTGTTGGATGAAATCTGGTCCCGTTTCCAAAAGTGATGCGATCTATACCAATGATACAAGTATGGTCTGTGGTATAATGGATAATGCTCCAAAAAGTGGCATCCAGTGGAACGCAAATAATTCGGCCTCAGCATGTTATTTTCGTGGGAATGATATGTCTAATGTTCTTACTGCATCAGACCTTTGTGCTGGACAATGTGCTCAAACTTCAGGATGTACTCACTTTGTATGGTCTACATATATGGGTGGTACTTGTTGGATGAAATCTGGTGTGGTTTCCAAAAGTGATGTCATCCATACTGGTGATACAAATATGGTCTGTGGTCTAGTAATTGCCTCTTCAACAGGTGCAGTTGCTGAAGCTACCACTCCATCCGGAAATTGCTGCAAGCCTGGGTGTAGTCTGGGTGTGGTGTGGGTGTGGATGTGTGCGGTATGGGTGTTGGTGTGATGTGTGGGTGTGTTATTTTTATTAAAATTTTTAGAGAAGTAGCTGTTTTCTCTATTTATCAAAGGAAACTTTTTCTTCTTCTTTTCGACAAATGCCTCTCGATATTAATATGAAGAACAAAAAAGGAAAATTTTTTTGTTCGTTTTTGTAAATTTTATTGTTGACTAGTTTCCGCGAACTTTAAGAAGATGTCTCTTCAGGATTTTCAAAACCATACAGGTAACGTTCATTAACATCGAATGTTAATTTACTGAGTCCTAGACTGACGAAATGATGAGAAAGATGTCCTTATATTTCGCATAAAAATGAATTCTGTACAATGATCACTATAACAGCAATAATTCATAATTTTAACATGTTCTTAGGGATGTGCAGTATCAGTATACTGACCACCGATAAAATCACACTGGCGTTCACCGATACGGTGACGACACTGACACTGAGCGCACTGTCTGCAGTGATGCACTGACACTGAGTGAACTGTCTGCAGTGACGCACTGACACTGAGCGAACTGTTTGCAGTGACGAACTGTCACTGAGCGCACTGTCTGCAGTGACACACTGTCACTGAGCGCACTGTCTGCAGTGATGCACTGTCACTGAGCGAACTGTCTGCAGTGGCGCACTGACACTGAGCGAACTGTCTTCAGTGACATACTTACACTAAGCGCACTGACTGCAGTGTCTGCACCGACATTTGTGTTCACTGGATCAGTGTATACACTGACACTGGCTGCACTTGTTGCACTGACGCATACTGGAACACTGACGTACTGATACTGATTTCCATTGAC